AACTTCTCCACATCAGAGATTCTGCTTCTAGATATGACTGGCATTTGTGTCTCTCCCAACCCCACAGCACCATCCGACAGAACCAAAGACTCTTTTCAAGTTGATAATCCCTGACAGGGACAGAGTACCCAGTAAGCAAGGTAAGCACAGTCTTACTTGTGCTTGCCTACTAATCTGCAGCAAAGTTTCATATGTGGTGGAAATGTGAAACTGTTCACAACAGGCTAGTAAGAAAGCACAAGTCCATGTTTACTGGTCAATCTGCCCCACCTCTAACCCCCTCTCTAGAAAAACTTGTCATTGACTTTAGCACTATGGAGAGACAACACTTATTATCACTGAATGCACATGTATTAAAACTGGCCAACTGTTTTGTCCTGGCATTATACCATATGAAATGTAAACCAGGAATCTCCCCTGTGGCCAAAAAGCTCTGGGAATGTTTTCTTTCCAATGGAGTAGTCAGGACTATGAAATGTCCCAAGTGTTTTGGGGACAGCAGGGGCTCTCTACGTGGATACTCATTCTCAGAGGGGTCTTCTCTCTCTTTTGGCCCAAATTGGCATTTCTCCTCACTCTCCTCCAACTGCTCAAGTCAGGATTGGGGTCATGGCAGGAAAGGAGAGGAAGAATCTGTTTGACTTTGCGGGGGAGGGGGGGTTCTTGCAAGGCTCACCCCCCATCTACACCCAGAGTCAGAACCACCCAGTTCTGGGATAGAGGTCAGGGAGGGTGGCTGCTTTGTCCTCTCCAAATGAGGGATGGAGGTGGGGGCAGCAGGACAAAGTGTGTTTTGGATGGGGTAGTGGGAAAGGGACGTGGGAGGTGAAGAAAAGAAGATCTTGGCTCAAGTCATGCCTGATGACAAGACTGAGATCAACGTGAACATATTGAAAAGCTGTGGAGAAGTCCCTTCTCCAAAACATAAACATAGGAAAGCTAATTCCATCCACGCTCTTAGGTGGTGATGATTAAGCCAAATTAATGTTAGCTTTATGCCTCCTGGTTTTTAAACAAATGCCAAACGAAGTCACTCTCTGGGATTAGAGAAACAAGTTTCAATGATCCTTAAATTTTCACTGTATTTTATAATCTAAGAAGCCCTTTTTGTACATTGTGATAAATCTCTTATAAGACAATGATTATTATGACTTCCAATTTAGAGATGAGGGAAAATTCCCTTCTAGAGCAGGAGTACCATTTGTCTACAACATCTAGTTAGAAAGGCATCAGGTTCTGCTACCAGTGGTTTACAAACATCAGGCTTCCATGAAGAGAATTAGCAGTTTTGCCAGTTGATGAGATTTTTTTTTAAATTTTTCTCCTCTCATTCCTACGTACAAAGATTTTCCTTACGGAAGCCTGGAAAGCCAAAATGTCAGGCTAACAGTCATATACTCATACTTTTACCAACAAAGTTGCCTCATTTACCATCCAAACAGAAGCATCCCTGGACTGTTTGTATCAAAACCAACACTTACTGCTTTCTGACACTTCACCTTTACTCTTGGAGTGTCCCTGTGTATACTCCATTCATTGGGGTGCCTCCGGGAAGCACAGCACACAAAAGTTTAGGCATTATTGAACTTGGAAAAATTCATGAGAGCCATGAAACACTCTCTAGAAGGCCATTTTTGACTGCCCTGCCTACCCAATAGGCTCATGGCTAAATCCTAAGGAGAACATAGACGAGAAGATTATTTCCAAACTGTATACCATACTTAGACCCACTACCACCATTGGCTTGGTTCTGACTCCTAGGGACCCTATAGGACGGAGTAGAACTGCTCCGTAGGGTTGCTGAGGCTATAAATCATTATGGAAGCAGACTGCCTCATCTTTCTTCTACAGAGCAGCTTAAGGGTTTGAACCCTCGACCTTTTGGTTATCAGTCCAACACTTCACACACTGTGCAACCATCAGGGGTTCTTTTTTAAAATGCAGTTGTAGTTAGTGCCGTTGAGTTAGTTCCAACTCATAGTGGCCCTGTATAGGGTTTCCGAGGTTGTGAATGTTCACAGGAGCAGAAAGCCTCATCTTTCTCCTGCAGATCAATTGTAAAGCCAGCAGCCCAGCTTGTAATCCAGGGCTCCTGGGGTCTTGTATAAATGCACATTGTTTTCCCAGTGCCGTCATAAAGACAGTGGTTTATTATTCCATAGGTGAACACCAAACTTGTTTCAAAATAGAAACACTACATAATCACAGAAAGAGTAAATTTAGGACATTAAGTGCATAGGGTATCCACTGTGAGGGTATTAGGTGGCTGATCCTATTTCAGTCTATGGGTTGCTTCAGATCTTTTCCTTGCTATTATTAAAAACCCTATCTACTCAAGTTGCCACTTTTAAAATTTTACCAGGTACAATGTCTACTTATCAGTCAGAGGAACATATTTCTGCAGCATTCACAGCCAAGGCCTAGCTACTAAGAATCTTTTCTGACCCTCTCCGGTGGGATTTTTCTAGCTGCTTTTCTATCAAGGAGCCCAATATATAATTTCTCCAGTCTCAGCTGAATGGATGACTCAGCATTTAAAAACCTGGTTTTCTTTTTCAAAGCAGCCAGCTGTTTCGCAATGCAATTATTTGTTAAACAAATCTATCAAATACTACAAATGTTACTTAAATATGGATTAGACAAGTATATTTCTTCATGAGCCTAGAGAACCATTTTCAACCAAGAGAGCATTCAAGCTGGTGCAGATGGGAGATCAAATCCTTCTTCCTCCAGAGGAGTCCTACAGTTAAATCTTGGACCTTAGGAAGGAGGTTCGGAGCCAGCAGGAGGCCTGACCTACACATAAGAAAAGAGCATCTTTCTGCTAATCTGGAACCCTTGGAAAGAATGAGATTCTCCTAGGACTTCCTCTCTCCTGATGCACAAAAATGAAACACCACCCATCACTCCTGTCCTCAAACATGGAGAAGCTGCGGCTCTCAGCTTGGAGAGAGAGTCAGAGGCTAAGATGGTGTGAGGTTTTGTTTTCCAGTCTCACTGCTAACCCCAAGGAAGTATGACACCACCATCTTAAGCACAAAGCAGCTGCTCTTTTTTGGCTTGGGTTCAGTATAAACCTCACAAACAGTCTGCTCGATCCTTTTTTATATTCAGTAGTAAGTTTGTTTTTGAAAAGCTCTGCAATCAAACACAAAAAACTCCCAACCTATTGTTTCCATGAAAAGTATTTTTCCACAAGACATAGAAAGTCAAGTATTCCAAACAAACTCCTAAACAGAAAAAATAAAAATAAAAATAAATACCAGTAGGTTATTTCTGCCAGAGAAATGTAACAGAATAAATAATTAGGCAGGTTCCAAAGAATTAATGAATACCAATTCTTTCTGAACAATAAAGAGAAGAAAGTCTACCATCAAATCTTTATTTTTTATTTTAAAGAGGTCCTCAACAGTGAAGCCATGGATATATTTTTATTTAGGCATAAAAATCAGACATCAGAAAACTTCTCTTTCCTTTTGAAAGTTTGACAGTATTATAAAGATACCTCAATCATTCGATATTCCTTATCCTTTAACTATGCCAGCTAAGAATTCACATATCACATAAAATACTACAATGGGCCCCTAGGCTGGGTATAAACCTTTCCTTCTCTACTTCCATCATTGTTGTTAAGTGCCATCAAGCTGGTTCCGACCCACAGCGACCCTGTATAGGGTTTCCAAGGAGTGACTAGTGAGCTTGAACTGCCAACCTTGCAGTTCAAACTGACTTTGCAGCCCAGCTCATTAACCCACAGCACCACATCAGGACTTCCCCCAGTACAGAATTAGAATATACACTGGGGCCAGGTGGTGATAATGCTTTTGAAACTAAGGCTAAACATTTGGGGGGCATTTTTCCTTATCACTGTAGTGTGTTCATATTTATAACACACGCAGAGAGACGTTCATAAATTCAAGAGAAGTCAAAGTTAATCCAAATAATTGAAAATTCTTGGGAGGTCAACAGACTTCCAAGAATCTTCACATTGGTTTATAAGTAGCAAATTTGGTTTGAAGCTGGCCATCCCTTTGGAAGTCTGTAAAGGTGGGTTCCCTCCCATGCACTCTGTTCCTTTCATTTACATAATCATATCTACCACTATGGAATAGTGCCATCATGTATTGAGTTTCTACGTCAGACGTTCTGAGAAACGTGCAGAAACACTCATCTCCTGGGAGTCATGAGCATGGTTCTTGTCCACCTACTCAACTGACCCTGAAATACTAGCAAAATTCAAGATGATTTGCTGAACTTTTTGTGTTAACAAATGTTTGAGCTAACTGCTATAATATTCCCTTCCTCTCAGCATCTTCTGCTCTCCAACAACGATTTCGTAGATCTTAATTCCTAGGTAGTCCCATGATTAAAATTTATTACAATTCTTTTTTTGGGAGTTCTGATCTCATTTCAGGAAACAAGAATATTGTAGATATGTTGTTGTAAAGTGCAGGTTCTGACCCATAGCAATGCTGTACAGATACAGGAGGGGAGAACACACTCTTCCCTGTATCCAAATGATGAAATCAATTCAACACATATACACACACTTACTAATTCAGAGATAAACACACATTTGCAGAACTATGTAGCGTCATTTTTGCTTGAATTAGTATCGTTTGTAAGCATCCTTATAAAATTGGCGTGTGTGAATTCATTTTAGCTACCCATCCACATCGTTCAAATGTGGGGACTAAACAACCGTGGGAACTATTTTACCCCCAATAAATTATACAGTTCTCCAATCACACAGGGCGCTTAGTAAATATTGTTCAGTGGCTTGCTTAGGAAAGAAAAACAATTTGGAAAACCTTCAACTTACTAACAAGAAATCTTCTTGCCAGCAAAATAAACTCAATCATGCAGAACAAACACCTCATCCACTTCCCATCCTGCCCTGGACTCCAAGTCACCTTCCACAGACACACATGGCGTGACACGATGACACAGGAGAAATGGGGGCCAGCCCCACCCTTTGGGACTTCCCTGAGCCTTCATACCTGCGCTGATGCTCCTGTAAGACTTGGTAAATGCTGATAAGAAAAGTTTGGTTTTTAAAGCTCCCCACAACACAGTCCTTGTAGATTCGGAATTCTGCAGCCGTCACCGCCTCACCCTCAGGAATCTGGGACAAGTTGAACTTGAACTCTTTGTGGTGTCGCTGGCGAGAGGAGAACTCCTTGTCGTACTCCACTATAAGATTAAACGAGAGAGAGTGACAACTATTGTTACTTGGCTAAGTGCCACAGGTTCACCTCTTGAATGTTCCCCATGTCACTTCCTAAATGGATTACCAGTTCCCCATGGAGATTACCAGTTCCCCATGGAGATTACCAGTTCCCCATGGGGATTACCAGTTACCAATGGGGATTACCAATGAGGGTGGTGGAAAGAACATTGCCTAATGCTGTCAGACAGCTTTGGACTAAAGGCTTTATTTTATCCAAGGGTTAAAGAAAATTCTTAGACTTGACATACTTAGTTTAAATCATCTGCATAAATACAAGTGAGATAATGAAATGGTGAATATGAATGCAACCCTGGCCGCAATATTCCTTCCCAGACCCTGTTGGCTCTCCTCTCATCATCCTTAGCCAATATGAACAACGGTAGCTATCAGCAGACTGGTGGTCTAAGGTTGGTGGGGGGAGCAGGGTTAACAGGGCATGTCACTGGGCTTGAAACTTGAAGGGGACTCAAAGCTTGACTGCTGTTCAGTGGGCTCAGCTTCACAGAAAATGCTCTCCCTTACTCATAACATCTGAGGCTGAAAGATGTGGAGGAGAGGGAGACTCAGCACTGAGAAGATGATGGAGACTCTGTGTGCTTGCAGAATCCCAATTAGCAGAAAAGAGGCGTAGAGGTAAATCACAAACAGGAGTCTTTGCTATTTTGCAGTGATTTAAGCTGGAAAAAAACCCCAAAACCCTGGAGGAAGAATTGAGTCTAGTTTTTTCTTTAATAAAATCTTTCCCTGCATGAAAACACATCATAGAAAACTACAATTCCTGACTATCATTTTTCCAGAGTCAACTTTCAGGTGTCCCTAAGAAGTCCTCTGTGAGAAAACTGGTATCAAACCTCAAATGCTTAACTCCTAATCTTTGTAAAAGGGGGAAAAAAAGGAATGTTCTGCTGTTTCCCACCATAAATCCCTGACTGTTTTCCCGAGAGTTAGGAAACACTTCTGCCCTGTTGTTCCTATGAGGTTTTTTTCTTAATGACAACCACAATGAAATCTCATGAGCAAATTAATCCTTTATGGTAGTGTTTTCCCAGGGCTTGTGGGTAGAAAAAATATCACATCATTTGCCACTTTCAACTTCCCACTTACTCCCACATGTATTGTTGTCCAAAATTACCGGAGAAAAGTTTTGGATATGTAACTTCTTTTAAAAGAAAAGAAAAAAAACAAAGCCAGCAATTCTTGAGAAGAATCTAAACTATCAATGGCATTTCCAGAAGCTAAGGAAAGTTAAGCTATGTCTGCAATGTCTTAAATAAAACAGTTCTGAAGTGGCCATGTGACTTTACAACAAATCCTTTACATTCAAGCTATTGCGTCTTGTTTTTTGGGGTTAAGAAAAAAAAAATATTAAAAACAAGCAGCTTTGGTTTGTGTAAGAGGTTGACTATATGCAGAAAGAGCTCCAACCAGAAAGCAAATCATGGTTAAGTCCCAACCAGAAAGCAGGTTTTCTAATTAATGGCTAAGCATGAAAAGCAATATTGTTGGGAAGTTCACCCAAGGACACCCACACACGATGGCATATCACTTTCCCCTAAAACTGATCTGCCTTTTAAGTTTGATATGTTATCATCATTGGTTAAAAAGTGAATCAAATCCGATTTCCCAAAGAGACTTTCTAAAAAAAATAGTTACAGAGCCTTATCATAGGGCCTCTGAGGTAGCTCATTGTAATATGGCTAACTGAAAATACATTTTTCAGATTCACTTGGGAGCATGCATTGGAATTCTCTAAATAAGTTTTAAACTCTGTTAATACAAACAATTGGAAAAGCCACAGACAAGAAGCAAGATATAAGGTATTAACTTTCAAACACTGCAGTTATAGGACTGGAGAATGAGACAGAAATTGTAGTAAATGTGGTAAATAATTTTTGGAGAGGTGTTCTCCCCCCCATGCCCAAATGAACCACCCCTCCAGAACTCAGACTCTTGTACTGTTCCTTTCCTGGGTTGGCTCTGTGGTTGGCTCTGTGACCTGCTTTGGACTAACAGAATGCAGCAGAAGTGATGCACTATATGATTTTAAGGCTAAGTTATAAGAACCTTTGAGCTTCCTGCCATTTAGATTTCATGGAATGCTCATCTGGAGAAAGATAGCTGCTATGTAAGTCCCTGGGCCATGCAGATAGCTAATGCCCTCGGCTGCTAACAGAAAGGATGGAAGGTCAAGTTCACCCAGAGGCACCATGGAAGAAAGTCCTAATGACCTACTTGTGAAAACTCAGCCACTGAAAACCACGGAGCACAGTTTTACTCTGGCTGACATGGGAGCACAGTGATTCGGAGTCAATATAACACCAAGTGGGTTGTTTTTTTAAAAAAACTGAGTCATGGAATGGATATCCTGAACAGCAGCAACCAAGAGTGTGAAATAAATTCCATCTTCACAGATCCAAAGTGAATTACGACACATATTAACATTCTTCACATTCTTATACATGGAACAATGGTTTTCTCATTCTCCAGAGGAAAAATCGCCAACTAAAGCATGTGGATGAAGTCCTGGTGTGGCACTGTAGGATAAGCACAGACTGCTAATCTCAAGGTTGGCAGTTCAAACCCCCCAGCTGCTCCTCAGAAACCCTATACGGGGTGGCTATGAGTTGGAACAGACTCAACAGCAACAACAACAATGCATGTAGAAACAAAGTTAAGTAGAAAAAAACGAATCCTTTATGCAGAGCTCTGGTCTTTTTGTAAGGACGTGGGCCCTAGAGACAATAGAGGCTGGATGTTACTAGCCATGTGATTTTGTAAGGACGTGGGCCCTAGAGA